TTTTTTTTTTTTTTTTTGTGTTGTGGTGTAGAAATGTGATCGGAGTTGATCCCTGTCATGAATAAAGGACAAGGTTGGGGAATAAAAAAAGAGTTGGTTGTGAATGGTTTTTTTTTTTTTTTTTTTTGAAAGAAGGAAGATAAAATAAAATAAATAAAGGGTATAGTGGGATCAGACGGCTTGGTGTAAAGTGGATGAAAAGAAAAAAAAAGTGAAGATTGGTTTAAAAATAAAAAGGAGTATGGGTGTGTGCAAAAGGTGGGGGATGATGGGGTAAAATAAAATAAAAGAAAATGATGATGGGATTTCAGAGAAAGAGAATGTAGGTTGGGGGTAGTGCCCCTGCAAAAGAGATATGGTTGGGTCACATGGATGAGTGGTGGTAAAGGAAGTAAAAGAAAAAATAAAAAAAATAAGAGAAGAAAAGTAAAATGGGGTTGGTGATGTCGAGAGAGAGAGAGAAGAGAGAGATGAGTTTGTGTTGCTCTGTGGTCATGCATGGTGACCGAGAGAGAGTTGATGAATGCATGGTTTGATCAGGCCTCCCATGGCTGGAGAGGAGTGAGACTGAAACCGGCAGAGCGGACACCACAGGAGGTGTGGCCGGAGATGGACCTCCAACGACGGCGCCTGAAGGCCATGGGCAGTGAGCAAGCAGCGGTACAGTGGCGGAGCTTTGTTGGAGAAAAAAACAAGCTGGGTTTTGCCCCAGAAAAGAGAGTTGCCGAGAGAGAGCAGACCGTCTTGAGAGAGCGAGCAACTGCTGCCCTCACTTCATGGTTGTGAACTTCTCTCTACTAGTGTTGCCCCTCAACGGAAATGTAACCATGAGAGAGAGAGAGAGAGAAGTTCACACAAGGTCGACGAAGACGATGAAGAAGACGACGTTGTTTCGGTCAGCGAAGGAGAGCCCAGTGACCAAACTCGTGAACCGGTTCTTAGCCGCTTGCTTCTTGCCTTGGTCTGAACCGGAGTCGTGAAACATGACTTGGCCAGGACTGCAATTTCCAGCGGTTCGGACCGGTTTCCGGTGGTTTTGTCAGGTAATTTTCCGGCTAGAGAATATTCGGAGAAGGAATCTTCCACAAAATGAGAAAGCCATTCGAGGTTTGCCAAATCATCCGCTGGAACGCTGAGTTCGCTGCGAAAATCGTCGGTGACGGAAAAAGTACTAGTTTTCAAGACGGAGGCGGTGGCCATAGCAGCGGCGGTCTCGCCGGCGAGGTCCGACCTGGGGTTGTTCAAGATGGAATTTCTGATCTTGAAGGTGAAGTTCTGCCATGGAATTTGTTAGAAACTACTGTAGCGCAGCAACAACAAGATCAAGAGCAAGAAGAATAATTTGTGGCGGCGGAGTGAAGGTATGGGTAGAGGTCCGGCGGGCGGCCAAGGCGAGGCTGCCGCCCGCTGGTGAAGCAGAATTACTAGCTTCTCAACCTTACTCTGATACCATGTTAAACAAATTGATAGAGAGAGAATAAATTGTATGTATTATGATTGATATTAAGTGTTCAATATTACAAATGGTGAGGGGCTCCTTATATAGGAGAAAATACAATCCTTACAGACAATGGACAATGATGGCTCATGATGGAAAGTGAAGTACTAGAACCTAAAGGCACCGAAAGGGAGGCTCACTATCTACTAATATATTATATACTCTAACATTTTCCATGAGAACAAAAAAGAGAACTTTGAATGGTTGAAAGGTCGGTCTTGACAGCAAACCCCCTAAAAATGAAGGAAATAAAGACAACGAAAAATGTGAAATTTCTTACAATTGTGAGTGTGGCTTTTCTTTTAACAGTTCAGTGGGTTTAAATAGGTGTGGTTTCACACCGTGTGAATCTGGTGGCTTTTTCTTGAAAAAAAAGCTAACTATTCAAAATGTTTCAGTGGGTTTACATATAAATGTTTCTACAAAATTTATATGTAGAAACAGCTTCCTCTGGCACTCCTTCGAAAGCTTACTAGTCACACAGCAGATGCTCACAGATATCAAAATTAGACTCAAATGAATTGTTTTAACAACCCTTGTGAAAGAAAACAAAAAAATTAAAACTGAAATATATGAAAACTTGGAGGAACAAAGTATATTATTGGGAATTTCGTTCTAATAGATCAGGGAAAGGTCCCAAACAGTGATACAATCTAGTATGGATATAGAAGACTTGAAACATTCTCTTTGCACATACTTTAGTCTTGTTTCTTGTGGCTCAGGTCTTGACAAATGTGAAACATAATATGAAAGAGGAACAAAAAAACCATTTATGTATGACTTGCCTGTAATAATAGCCTGCAAAAATCACATGGCTTTATATACAAGTGCCCAAATCATGATTCATGAAATTAAATAACTATATGACGTTGGGTCAGAAAGAATATATGAATGAGGTGTAAATGACATAATATCAAAACTGATACAGTTCATATCTCAAATTACAACAAGATCAGAATGTGACATACAAGTTAGGAGTGAAGTGCTTTTCGCACTGATAGAATGCACAACCTTAGAGTGGTGGCCATAGTAATATGGATGGGACCATTTACACCTGCATGAAATGTTTAACCTGTTACTTATAGGGGAAACAGATGCAAAAAGAAGAGATATAAAAAGAAAGCTCAATGAAGTAAATATGGCATACAAAACAATTGACAAGCATAATGTTTTTTTGTGTTCTACTTCAGAGGACAGATACTGTCCATAATATTATATAGAATGTAAGCACTATCCGAAATCAAAACAACTCACTAAACATTACAAGGAAAACTAACCACCCAACAGTGATGCAGAAAAACCAGGAAGCACATAAGCATACTTGAAAATTTTACACAGAATTAACCATTATGAGAATATTTCTTTCTGTAAAGGGAATAACTCCTCAACATGTTTGAAAGATAATTTTCTCACAATAACTTCGATTATTTTCAGAGAGTAAATTCATTGAACATATAATGAATGTAACTAGAATAAAATCTGGCTTCATTCTCAACAGAAACAACACTGGAAACATCATCATCACAAGTACAGTTTACCAGGGACACAAATTTGCAGGAAGGTGGTTGAGTACCCAACAACATATGAATATTTAAACCCACCATGTCCCCGTGTCCTAAGATACTCGCAACGGTTGGATTTCGCAAGAATCTCAAGACATAATCAAATCTTTACAAGTGGTTCAAGACAATGAAACAGAGAAATTTGGGGGCCGAAGATCTTAGCCTCTATACAAATAAACACGTGATAAGTATTTACATGAAATATGATTAAAGAAAAGCGTGGTTACTTGAATGCAGTTGCCACTGGACCTATGCCGAAAACTGAAGCCACGATAATCTCCCTAATTAATCTCTGCGATGAAAAACAATAACAATTACATCAAAAAATTAAGCAAGAACAATCAAAATGTTGAGGTGGTTTTAATCGTTAAAAATCACCAGAATCTTGCTCATGATGGTGGTCAAACCAATCCACGCAGCACGTTGAATCAAGCCAATGTCTACGAAATCACCCAAATATTAAAGCATTCTAGGGTTACAGACACACATTTATTTGTATATGTATATATATCGAGAGTCTAGGGTTGGGAAATAGTACCAGAGGGCATCGAATTGGTGTCATCATCTTTGACCTTGGACGCGGACTGGAATGCATGGCTTGAAGAAGTTTCCACCGAGTCGATTCGAAAATGTACAGGTTCTTTGAAACAAGGGACTGTTTGAATTCGACTGAATTGGTGAAGAATTCGAGTGTGAGAAGGATTCGACGATGATGAGAAGAGTGATGGGAGAGAAGTGA